TTGCTTGCTGAAGGTGAGGATGACTTGAAGCACTTACTGATGAAGATTGAAGAATACAGTCTGCAGTATGGATTACATCTCAATGTAAAGAAAACAAAAATCCTCACAACTGGACCTTTAAGCAGCATTACAGTAAATGGAGAAAAGATTGAAATTGCAAAGACTTTACATTGCTTGGTTCTACCATTGATGCCAATGGAAGCAGCAGTCAGGATGTCAGATGATGTATAGCACTGGGCAAATTGGCTTCAGGTGACCTTTTTCAAGTGCTGAAGAGCAGTGATGTCTCCTTGAGGACTAAGGTACACCTGACACAAGCCATGGTATTTTCAGTCACCTCATATGCATGTGAGAGCTGCACAGTGAATAAGGAGGAACAAAGAAGAGTTGTTGCTTTTGAGCTGTGGTGTTGGCAAAGAATGCCGAAAGTACTGTGGACTGCTAAAGAACTAACAGGTCTGTCCTGGAGGATGTGCAGCCAGAATGCTCCTTGGAGGCAAGAATGGCCAGACTTCGTCTCACATACTTTGGTCATGTTCTCAGAAAGGACCATTCCCTGGAGAAGGATGTCATGCTTGGTAAGGGGGAGGGTCGATGAAAGAGAGGAAGGCCCTCAACAAGATGGATTGACATGGTGGCAGTGGCGATGGGCTCTAGTATAGTAAGAATCAAGTCGTGTTTTGTTTTGCTGTGCATAGGGTCACTATGAGTTGGAGACGACTCCACAGCACCTAACAACAACAACAATATGATAAAAAAAAAAAAGTTATTTGTAATTATAAATAAAATTAATAACTTTCATTTGTTCATTGATTAATGTTTGGTTAATTCAAGTTGAAAAATAAATACTTATTAAATAATCAGTCCCATTTGTGAATGTAGTTAATTAAATACCTTTCACTCAACTCTTATAAACTTAATATTATGATCTTCCTTTTAATCATTTCTAATGCCTGACAGAACAAATTGAGTACCATAACAAGGAAAACCTTCTCACTTATTTAAAACAACACCTGAAAATTTAATAGAGTAAACTTATAATCAGAGTAAATCAGGTTCTCATAAGCACTCTAATATTGTTTATATAGTTAATCAAATGTTTCTATACTTTTCACCTTATATTACTAAGTATGTCAGATTCTCTCAAACATTTTAAATACTTTAAATAACAAGCACATGCACGTGATTGCTACACATACCATAATGGCTTGCAATTTTATTTACTTTGTTACGTCTACATTTATTTTCAAAATGAAGATATTTAACTATCAGGAACAGTTTTACCTTCTCAGAAAAGCTGAGGTATCTGTTCAGATTGGTTCTCTCAGAAATTTGAGACCAGAAGCCTCTGCACATTCTGTCTTTTAGAAATTCCCCCAGAAATCAAGGTCTGTTGTAGACATACTTATTAAAATGATGTTTAATATATATATGCCTTAAAAATAAAAGTAATACACTCAGGAAATAAGCATTTAAAGAATATAATTCTTTTTTTGACTAGATTTATCAAACTATAGAGCACTAATGAAAACAATGTTTAGTGCTTTGTTCTTTTGTACATAGGGTCGCTGTGAGTCAGAGCTGACTCGATGGCACCTAACAACAGCAACAAGAACACTATGAGAGAAGATTGCCAAGTCTTTCTCCCACAGAGCTACTGGGTGGGTTTGAACTGCCAACCTTTCTGTTAGCTGCTGAGTGTTTAACCATTGCACCATCAGGACACCTTTAGAATTTAAATAAGTTATATGAAGTGCTATAGTTTGAAAAGAAACTCTTATGCATAGCCCATCACTTACGTCAAAATGTATGAGAAAAATCTTAATTTATTTTTATTTACTTTGTGTAAAAAGAAAATATGGTATTTCTTACTTAACATTTTTTTTTTTAATTATTTGAATGGCAAGTCATGAAATTAAATGAGGCACAGTGTGGCTGCTTGAAAAGGAATCAGGTGCCCTGCCACACAGGAGGAAAGCTGAAAGTTAGAAACCAATAGATTTTATAACCCTGGTTTATTAATTCCCAGGGATGTTCAACCTTACAAAATCCAAAAGCAACAAAATATTTTTTGTTGTTGTTGCTTACTCATTTCTTTTCTTTGAAAAAAAAAAAATAATAATTTTATTGTGATTTGGGTGGAAGTTTACAGAGCAAATTCAGTTTCCATATAGCAGTTCATATGCATTTTGTCTCATGACATTCACTGCAGTCCCAACAGCTCTCTTCCCACTTCCTGCCTATAGTTACCTCTTTCCGGTGTCTTTCTTTCCTGTCCATTCCTGCCCCTGAGCTATCTCCCTGTGCAAATACTGCCTTTCTGTATCTTATGTGCCAGTCTGTTGTTTGGCTGTAAGCCATGGGAGTGAGTTCAGTTCCAGGCCTGAAGGGTAACTAGGGGCCATAGTCTTGGGATCTCACCAGGCTCTATCAGACCAGTAAAACTTGGTCTTTTTTATGGTAGCCACAAAATACTTTGGATTATGCTTTAAAATAGTAATTGTTTACCTTTGCACCAGTTCACACAGAGTTGTAAATAAACTAAATAGACTTATTATTTGCCTTAAAATTAGAGAATAATTGTTTGTTTTTTTCTCTACAGGATTTTGGACTGATAAGGAGGAACTAAAGAAACTGAGGGAAAGTGAGATGATTTTCAAGCCACAGAAGAAATGGCAAGAGTATGAAATAAATATGGAAAACTGGGTGAAAGCAGTGAAACGCTCCATGCATTGGTATTCCAAGATGTAGCACTAAGTGAAATGGCAGGACCCATAGCTGGCATACTCACGGGATGTGCAGATGAGACAGGGCTCAGGGATAACCAACTTTGATGACTGAGCGGAGAAGATTTAAAACGAGCTTCACAACCCGAGAGAAAAAGGCTTGCTTTTTTGAAAAGCAGATAAACAAAAAGTTTATTTTTGAAATCCAAATCTTAGTAAGACTGATACGGCAGCAGTACCTCTAAACCGTCTTCTGTTTTGGAGCAAATTCCAAAGGATATCAGCCATTTCTAACCATATTTGGGCAGTTATGGGTCCTCCCTTCTCCTTTTTGTACTTAGGTTGATGTGCATGTGAACACAATTGTTTGGTATCTCAAGTAACTGTTCTGGATCAAGCACCATTCACATTTTGTTCCAAAATTAGTGAAAAGTATTTCCGTTAGTTCTATAGAGTTAAGTAGGCTATTAGAATGTTTTATAACTGAAAACAAAGAATAACTGAAGAAATGTAGAATTCTGAAACATTAATATTTTATGTTTAAAGCCATAATTGTTCACTATCCAAGTATGAGCTCAATATAACCCTCTCTCTTAGTCAGTGCTTTCCTTTATTGAGCTTAAAGACACTGCCTTAAATTTTCCCTGTTCAACTACATCTGAGCATTCTTTATGTGTTGAAAATACTTTTTGTTAATGAATCAAAAAATGGTTTTGATTTTTAAGGAACAAAAATACCATTTTTTTTTTTCCTTCTCAAATAGTATTTCTGGCTAAAGTACAATAACATCTGTTTTTGTTTTTCCCCAAAAAACACAGGTAGTTGATATAAATGTTGTCTTTCTTCTGTTCTTTACTTCCTTAGTTGTTGGCTTACTTGCCTAAATGTCTTTTAAAGATCTAATTGACACAACTCAATTTGAAGACAAGTGCCATAACTTTATTGGTGACTTTAAGATTTGCCTTCATTGTGGTAGTTTATTGTTGCATCTTTCTGATGTCTGCCCAGCCTACTCACCTCTCTGAGATATATGCAGTGGATGGTTGACACATATCTCAGGTGATGGGAATATATATAGAGAGAGTGGTCTAATAATGCCATCTAGCCGCTGAGCCAGAGATCCGTAGACGGGAGCCTGGATGTTCCATATTCTCCACCTTTCCTGACAATGAATGTGGAAGGGTGGGTACCATTCATGAGTAGCTTCAGGCTGTGTGTGAAGTTGACACATCACAACTGGTTTTCCTGTTATTTGCCCTACCATATGCTCTAAGTAGGTTCCATTTGGATTAGCAGCAATAATGAATTTTTTTCCCTCTCTGTCAGGTTAAGTCACATTATGTGCTTTTATGGAATTTGCTGTTAAAGGGCAACATAACTAAGTGACTACTACAGGGAATTTTGTTGTTGCCATTACATATATACATTTCAGAGATGGCTAGAACAAGAGGGCCAGTGGCATTTCTGCAAATTCCATGTCAGTGACCTTCAAGTGTCTTCTTAAATCATTAATCTTTTGATGGGACATTTAGCAAATATATAATTGAGACTTGAAATATTTTTGCTGAGTAGAGGTCTTTTTGTTTGTTTACTTATGAGGTCAGATTCCATCATGTAGCTTCTTCATTCTTTCTCTTTTTATATTATTTTTGCAGAATTGAATTGGTGACCAACAAGGGCTTTGCTATCAAAATCCTGTGAAAGTTGCTCTGTTGCTATTCCTTATAGAATCTATATCTCAGTGGGAGTGATTTCATAGGAAATAATTCTGGTTTGGTTTGGTTTGTGTGTGTATACATTGAATTATAGTAGTATATTAATACCAAAGGTTTGTTCACTTCTTTTTCTACATTCTTCTTTCTCAGCATATAAACACAAAACAAAGGAGCAATCTAAACTCTTTTGGATCATATGGGAAAATGACGTTGTTTAAAAATCTCATTGGAATTAAGCATCTCCTAAAAATACAGTGGCTAAATTTTTCCTGTGTAAATCTAGAAGGTAATCTTTCATTTTAATCTTTCTGGCTGTTTTGATGAAAGACCTTAGTAAATCTTTTGTCAGATTGGACCAAAATCACAAACAAGACCACATTTACTTTTGTGGTGGTAGAGACCGTTGATAATCAAAATCAGCTGAGCAAAAGAAAATGGTCCTTTCACTGTTTCAAGTTTACTGTTCATTTTTATGCTGATATTTGTCTTTTTAAAAAAAAAAAAAAAAGTTGTACAGATATTTCTCAGCATGCTTTATTTTCCCACTACAGATCCATCAGATATTTTTAGGAGAGTCCTAGCTATCTAATCAAAGAGGAGAATGTTCCTTTACAATTCATCTTGAAATGGTACTAATTGCTTTTATATTGTAGAATTTCTGATTTTTAAATCTTTTGTATCCAACTATGTCAGGGTTTCTCAACTATTAACACTTTGGACCAAATAATTCTTTGTAGTGAGAGGCTGTGGTATGCATTGTAGAAGTTTGGCAGTATCCCTCACCTCTACCCATTTGCTGCCAGTAGCATTCCTCCAGTTGTGACAACCACACATGTCTCCACACACTATCCAGTGCCCCCAGGAGGCAGAACTGCTCTCAGTTAAGAATCACTTATCTTAGAAGATGTTGGAAGAAAACTGAGCAGTCAGTGCATGTAGAATGTCGATCATGTCCCTTTTGTCTCTGTTGCATTTTAGCTTAGGAAACTGTTAGCAAAAAAGGAGAATCCTATCTTAAAGTAAATTGAGTTTCTATTGTTCAGTCGAATGAAGTAAAAAAAAATTCACGTTGTAATTGTCTTTATCCAGACACTGCACCCTATCCACCTACCATCTCCCTACCCAGCCCCTCTGCCCAATCACCTACCTCCACCACCCTGTGGTCTTAATTAGTGGAGCCATGAGTTCAGCATAGAATGAATGTATTCTGCAGAGTTGGCAAAGGACCATCTTTGATCTGCTCTGCTCTTTTGCATTCTTTTCATCTCTGAATCAACTAGGTGATCACTCGCTTTATCTGCCTTCTGTGCAAGCCTGCACCAGACTGGAAGTTCCCTAAAGGCAGAGACTGTGTCCACTTCCACAGAACTTACCACTGTGCCTTCATATTTATGAACTGAATTTTTATTTTATGTTTCTAAGAGCAACTTTTTATGTATATACATTGTATCATTAATGTTACATACATGTGTTGATAGAGAATAGCAACAAACATGAGTCTTGTGGATTTAGAAGGAATATAGGGTTGAGTTGGAGTGGATTTGATGGCAGCTAACAACAACTATATTATAAGGGCTAGAATCCTCTTATTGTTCATTAAAAATTCTTTATATGCTTATGTATTTGCCAGTGTATTTGTGAAGTGATACACATCCATTCATACACATAGCTGTATTAACTTTTTCATGTTACAACTGAAGGTTTTCTGTTTACAGGTTTTATGTATTTGGCTGCACATAGCTGACCGATTGATCCATTAGAGTGCCAAATACACAGGTGCTATAGGGAAATAATTTCAGAAATAGTCCCTCTGCAAGAGACTTAACTGGAGATCAGTTTTAACTAGAAGTAGTCTATCCCAAGAGCTGGCAAAAGTTCTAGCATTATTTGAGAGGAAACAGTAGCTGTACCCTGGAGTTTTTGGAACTTTAAGTAAGTGATTCTAGAGTCATCCCATATAGTCTAAAGGGCTACCCTAAAAGATTCTGAATCCCTTTGGGAAATTTAGGTCACATTTCTCAATTAGAATTAAAAGTCTAAAACACAACCTAGATCTTTAAGACCAAATGGCCCCAGAATCATCTTCTTGTATACCAAAGCCAGTCATCTAGCTCAAACTAGTAAAAATGGGTAAACCAACCCCTCCCCCCAAAAAAAATGGGTAACCCCAAAAAAGTCAAATGTTGTTGTTGTTGTTATGTGCCATTGAGTCTGACCCAACTCATAGTGACCCCTCCTTGGGTTTCCAAGGCAGTATAACTACAGAAGTAGATTGCCCAACCTTCTCAAACTAGTAAAAATGGGCAAACCAACCCCTCCCGCCCCCCAAAAAAATGAGTAACCCAAAAAAAGTCAAATAGGTGATCCTAAATCAGTTGGTTTTTAAGTTTTGGAGCCTCATAACCTCATAAATATTTTGGCACCAGTATCAGTTTCCAAGCTCAGAACTGGCTCTATTATCACCATGTTTTCATGGGACCACTGCCACTAGAAAAATGCAGTTATGGTCTTGGGAGCAGGAGGAGAGAGGCAGGACCCTGTAGAAGGAGATATTTCTGGAATTCTGTGTTATCAATGGAGGCTTGCCTGTTGCCATGATGCTGAACAGTTTCAGTGGAGCTTCCAGACTAAGATGGTCTAGGAAGAAATGGCTGATGATCTACTGTCAAAAATCAGCCTATGAAAATCCTATGGTTCTCTTAGGCATGGGATTGCCGTGAGTTGGGGACTGACTGCATGGCTGTTAACAACAACAATTAAAATGGCTTTGTCTATGTGTATATATATATATATATTGTTTAGAAAAGCAATGACATAAAGGTTCCACTTTAAATAGCTTTATCTTTATAAGAAGCTGTCAACTTTTTCCAGAGTAGCTCTACCATTTTATATTCCCACCAGCAATGTATGTGTGATCTATTTCTCTGCATCCTCACCAGCATTTAGTGATGTCACTATTTTTCATTTTAGTCATTCTGATAGTGATATCTCTTTGTGGTTTTAATTTGCATTTCCCTAATGGTTAATGTGGGAGCTCTGGTAGCATAGTGCCTAAGGCACTTGACTGCTAACCAGAAGGCTGGCGGTTCAAACCCACCAGCCACTCCTCGGAAGA